CTCAAGGCTAGTGCTCTACCACTTGAGCCACAGCACCACTTCCGGCTTTTTTCTTTTTGCTTATGTGGTGCTGAGGAATCGAACCCAGGGCCTCAGGCTTGCAAGGCAAGTGCTCTACCACTGAGCCAACTTCCCAGCCCCTTCATTCCATTTCTTATAAAAGCAATTCAGCCTGTAGCAGGTTATTCATAAATAAGTATATTGTAGCATTACTCATACTATTTATAAAGTGGAAACTGTAACTCAAAACCCTTAGGAGGAAATCAAAAGGAAAATAAATTCTCATAGTCACAAAATGAAATAACTGACAGTTAAATGAATAGTTGTAGGAATGGATTTTTTTAAACTGAGTTAAAAAAAGGAACAGAGAGATACAGAAAGTGTACGATGTAAAACTGCAAAACTGAAACAGTATTATGATTATAGAAGTAAGGCATGCTTATCAAGTCTAAACAGGGGGTATGATTGGTGACAGCAGAGAGAGAACTTGAAGGCTTTGTGTAGGGTTTATGTACACATATCAGCAGGTCCTCTAATGCATAGGTGATGAGGTATTAGCACTCTGCATCATGAAGGAGTAGATGTTTGTGATGATTCTTTCTGTGCTTTTCATGATAGAAGTATTTCCTAACTAGTATCAGACAAGAACAAGGAGAAAGGACAGACTGGTAACTCTCAACCCAGCGTACTATACTGGAGTCACTAGAGCCAAGTCAGAATGTGTGCCAGGCCTATGTAACAGTCTCAGTGTGATCTCAAAAGCATCCCATCTTACTTCTGGCAGAAGAGCTGTCCACAGTTCCTGCAATGGTGTCGTCTTTCAGTGAGGGAAAACCTCACTGAGCAGCCGGAGCAGCTGTCTCCGCCTTCATCCTTCACCCAGTGGTCAGCAGCTGATCGGCCTGGCTGGTCACTCACAGACCAGCTGAACACTCGGCCTCGGCTGTCACCAATAAGGATCCTACTGTGATCTCTGCGGGAGACATAAGAAGCTGTGATCTAGTGGTCAGGGAGGGCTAGGGTTGGGTTGTGAGGGTCATGGAGACCTCTTGGGAGACCCCGTGGTTTCCTCAGGGAAGTTTATTAAAATGAAACCAGGCAGAGCCCCAATTTACCCCTCTCTATTTCTTTATTTTTATGTAAAGGTGATGTACAGAGTAGGTCCAGTTACATAAGTCAGGTAATGAGTTCATTTCTTATTGAACAGTGTTACTTTTTCCCTCGTTTTCTCCTACTTTCCCTCCCCCCAAAACTCCTTCCCCCCACCCCAAGTTGTAAGGTTCATTTTCAACATAATGTCTTGTGCGTATCATTGCCTTGTGCGTATCATTGCCTTGTTCTATGTGAAAGCACTGTGTGTGTGTGTGTGTGTTTTAAATTCAGAATTAAAATCTACACACTGGCAGGTTTCTTCTATTGATATGAAAACTACAGAGATGAACAAATGTGACATTTGCTTTACTCAAGGACTGCTGATAGGCAGTGCCTAATGACTGAGAGGGAACAGGGGATGGGAAGTGGCCGGCCTGGCACTTACTTGGAGATGCCCAGGGCTGTGACTTCAGCTGGGTGTGCGTTGTCCTTTCGATCAAAGGCCGTGTGCATGGTTAGCTTGCTCCTGAATACTAGCTGCCGCTCCCACCGGTACCCTGGGGTAGAGAAGTAAAAGATAAGACGAACTAAACTGAGATATGGATATGATGCATCAGACGCTGGCCTGAGAGCCAGGGAGTGTCCGCAGACAGCCCAAGCTGTTGCTGCTGGGATAAAGGGACAGCATTCTAGCTTAAGAGTAACCATGACCCAGTCAGGAACTGAGGAGACGGGAAATCTCCAAGGCAGGGAGATTCTGGAGACCTGTCTCTAACCCAATTACAGGAAAGTTGCCTGCCAATACACGTATTTTTGGTTATTTCTTTTTTTTATTTGTCAGAAAACAGGACTCAAACTTGGTATCTGACACTTGCTGGCACTCTACCACCTGAACCATGCCTCCAACTCCACTTGTATTTATTTGTAATTAATACTTGCAAAAGCTTTTCCAATATTATAATTTGAGAATGAATATGTTTTTTGGTCTGAGGTATTTCTTCTTCTTCTCCTTCTTATAAAAATAATAATAGTAATAATAATAATATAATAAAAGGTCAGCATGTGGCAAATACCTTTGTAGAACTGACATTCAACCAACTTTATTGAGAGGAATGGTAAGTGGCCTTTCTTGGTGGGTGGCCAAGATATACAACACATACTGGGATGGAGCCTAGGGTGAACCAGAGCCCAGTGTCCCAGTCCCACCCCCGAACACTACTACAGGCAGCGGGGAATGATAGTAAATTTCAAGTTACCAGGTTTCAATCTGCTGTAATTCCGCACTTCTATGGAACTGGGGTGGGGGTGACTCAGGGGCCCCTGCAGATGGGCTCTGGTCTGGCCTTCTGAATAGTTCACAAATATGAAGCCATCTTTTTCATCTAGACTGAGCTGGTCAGACCAGCGTCTGGAGTCATCGGAGCCACTGTCAGTACACCAGGTGGCTGCAGCTCGGCATGAGGCTGCCCTTGGCCTGTGGCCGGTGCTGCTGGGCTGGCTGGGCGTGTCCTTAGGATCCTGGCTGATGCTCTGCTCCTCTGCTTCTGAATCACTGCTGTCTTCGTCTTGAGCTTCCTGCCCTGGGGAATGCATTGGGAGAATTAGAAAACAGACACATTGCAGACTTCAGCCTTATCCGCTGTGCCTTTCTGTTCTATGGCATGGCGAGACTCTAGTAGATATAATGCTCTAAGCGAAGTACAACAAAAGGGGTGGGGAAGCTAGGAATTTTAGCAAAATTATAGAGGGCAAAGAAAGCAGAATTTCTGAGACTGGTAGGACACACCAAGTCCACAACCCCAGCTAATTGGGAGGCAGGAACAGGAGGACTGTGAGTTCAAGGTTAGCATAGGTAAAGTTCACAAGATGCAATCTCAAAAACAAAATATAAACAAGAGGACTGGAGGTGTGGCTCAAGGAGTAGCTTGCCTAGCATGTTCATGGCGCATAGTACAATTCCCACACACCCTCCCCAGAGCTCTGTTCCTCCTCACAGCTGGCTTGGCCTGTGGCATGGGCCCTACGTACACTTGTCTCCCCAATGTCTGTGGTTTTCTGATGTTATCTTTCTTTCAACAACTGCTTTAAATGTCTTATCCAATTCCTTCCTCTCCTGTACTCCTCTCAGTTACCTGCCTCTCAGGTACTTAAAATTCATGCTTTATTATTATCTGGTCATTGTTTTTACAAGGCAGTAGAGAGAAGCTTGAGAGAAAATGACTACAAAAATGAATTTCTAATGGAAGCTTTAAGATTCTATTTTCAGCTGGGTGTTGGATGCTCACGCCTGTAATCGTAGATCTGAAGGTTGCAGTTTGAAGCCAGCCCAGGCGGGAAAGTCTGTGAGATTCTTATTCCTGCAAACCAGAAGTGGCCTGTGGCTCAAGTGGTAAAGTGTTCGCCTTGAGCTGAAGAGCTCAGGGACAGCGCCCACGCTCAGAATTCAAGCCCCAGTACTGACTGACACACACACATACACACCACACCCACACCCACAAAGATTCTATTTTCTTCCTCTTCCCATTGTCCCTTCCCATTTTCTCACATCAATCCCCCCTTTCCTGAAGTAAATTCCAAGAGTGGGAAAAATCTATGAAAGATAAGTATGCATAACTGTTAAAGGAGAAAGCAACAGCCAGTATGTAAGTACCAACTCACTACACATGCCTACATTTTCAGCAGGACAAATGTTCTTTCCTCCCATGTACTCATCAGGAGGCTAACAGACTGATCTGAATAGTTTTCACCCTGATGACTTATAGTGAACATTAAGGTGTACAAAGAAGACTTGCTTTTCAGTAAATCCCTACTTATCTCCCTCTTCACCCTGTTAGAGGTCAAGTCCTACAGTACTACATCGTCCAGAGACAATTGATTTTCTCTCGCTCTCTCTCCCTCCCTTCTTTCCTCCTGCCCTTTCTCCCTGCCCCCTTCCCCC